GTCTTTGAAAAGGTGTTTTAAAAACACAAATATGTATCATAACCTGTTGGACATAACCCATGAGGTTGCATGTAAATGGCAATAACACAAAGAACACAAAATATAATTATTACCTAGCAATCTCTGTAACCTCCTCCTCTCTATCTCTTACAGTGTGCAACACCATACATGAATTATAATTGTAATATGGTATAATATAATTATTATATAGTGTATATATGAATTATATTTTAAATTAAATTTTAATCTCCATGCGTTATGGTGGTTTATTGACCCAGACATCCATCTGCAAGAGAAGATAGCTTTAGTTGGCTGCTAGACTACATTTAGAGTATTCAAGCAGATATCTCCAGCAGGAGATAACTATATGAAATAGCTGAAAGTTTCTAACTAGCACACAGTCATAAACAAAAAATAGCAATTGTTGCAGGATTTTCATTCTGGTTAAAATGATCTCCTAGATTGTCCAGTTATTTTACACATTACACATTGGTATATTACAGTGAACATGTGCACAGTATTTATTGTTAAACACCGGAACATGTTGGGGCATATAAATGAAAGACATACTTTGAGGCAAATCAATGTAAATGTCAACTTCAGGTTTGACTGGCAGAGCTGGCCCAGTTAACATGCATAAAAAGTATTTGAAATATACATACTGTATGACATTTAAAAACATAGAAACATGCGCATACATATATTTTAATGTCAATTGAAAATATACCAGCTTAATGTACTCAGCAGATAGAATAAAATTCCAACGCTTACCAACTGACTTACTTTGAACATTTTGTCCCCCAAGCGACGATAAATCCAAATCATCAGAACTTGAAGATGCTATTGTAAGGATAATTTTATCATCAAAATATGATAACGGTCGACAGATATTATTATTAGCATATTTAAGAACAACACGAAAGATTCACTGACAGTCTACTCTAAAAACGTACTATTATAAAATATTATATAAAATGCAACCAAATTCTGTAATAAAATATTACTGTCAAATGAGAACTTCTTCAGTGATTGCTCCAGGTCATTCATATGGCCACAAACCACCAAAAACGCAAGAATGCACGAGTAAAACGCCGAAAAGCTCGATTTGTCAGAGATCGTATTTCTGGCCAAAAACATTTGCATTTTCTGCCAGGCGCTCCATTTCTCCGTCGCGTCCTCCCCAAAATTCCTTGCGTGCTCGCTCTGCTTAGTTACTGATCTATATAAAATGCCTGTAGTGTTCCTATATTTTATTGTATTTAAAGCGCCTCGGAACGAGGCTGGAAACTGAGTACAAACTCTACATGCATCACATATTTGACGAATATCAGCAGCTATTCATAGCCAAAATGTAACTTCTCGAGCTCTCAGCATGCTGCTATCAGCCCCTTGGTGAGATTTATGAATTTTCTTGTCTTATAGGTATAATAAGTTGCTAAGACTTCAACAAAATGTCATCGTACAATGTAATTTCTTCTTTAAAAATCAAAATGGTCGAAGATCTGGTTCTAACCAAGACTTGTCCAATGGCCAACAGTTTTGTACCACCTGCAACAACTATTTCAATGTTAGATCTTTCATCGTTTCATCCTGAACTCTTTTGAATGTCTCATTTGACATCATAGAGGGTTTCAAATTCATTTCTGATATTTCTTTTCGAAATACGGCTTCCGACTCTAAATCCAGTGAATCAGCTTTTTTCAATGCTGCACATGACAACGTATCAGCTATATAAAGTTATTTTCCTTGTTTATACACCAGCTGAAAATTGTACTGCTGAAGATAAAGCATCATTCACTGCAGGCTTTGTAGAGCATTTCCAAGAGGTTTCTTAAAATTTGTTTCTAATGGTTGGTGGTCCGTCTGCACCACAATATTATATTGATGCCACTTCTTCATGCAAGTCGCGATAGCTAAACATTCTTTCTCGATTTGAGCATATTGTTTCTCAGTATCATTCACGTGAAACAAACTGGTTTTTCCTCCTGCATAAATACCACCCCCAATAGTGTCTTCGCAACTAATTACAGAGTAACTGGTAATTTTACATTGTAATATAACGCAAACTTGTACTTGATGCAATCAGTCGCTTTGCAGCAACAAACGCATTCTCTTGGACCCGTGTCCAATTAAATTCAGCGTTTTGTTTGAACAAATTTCATAATGGTTACACTGTCTCACTTAAATTGGGGCAAAATTTTGAAAAATATTCACACAACTGCTGCAATCCAGTTTTATTCACAGGGCTTTGCATATCACAAATTCCACTGACTTGCTCAGGATCCGGTTTAATTCCCTGATCAGTTAGTCTATGTCCCATGAAATTGACTGACGTTGAGTTGAATTGCATCTTTTTTTCAGATAGTCGAAAATCTCCATTTCTACACTTATTCAATTATGCAATTAAATTTCTATCATGGTCTTCAATCGCTTATTGAATTTTTTCACCATGCCCAAAAATACATAATGATATGTCGTCCGAAATATTAATCACGCCATTTAATCCTTCAAGAAACCCCTGCTGTCTTCTCTGATATTTCTCGGGTCCCGATGAAATGCCAAAAGGCATTCGCTTATATTGATATCGTCCGTTTGGCTTTTGAGCTGTGAGCAAAGATGATTCATAATCTAGTTCAATGTTGTGAAACGCTTCCGAAACGTCCACCACTGTAAAAACTTTAGCATTCGTTAAATACGGTAACTGCTCTTTAATGATTGGTATAATCAATCATAAACAGGACGTCTTATAGTTTTTTTAAAGTTTGACTTGGTTCTATACATCATTATGCGAATTCTCCCATCAGGTTTTTCTCGCACAAGCATATTTGAAAATAATATAAGCATAAATGAAAATACTGCCACATTAAAGTAGAAAATAATGGATAGGAGTCTGGTAGGACCTTATTTTTGCAAGAAACTAACGTGTTTGCATTTGAAAATTACGACCGAAAAGTTCATACTATTGTATTACGCCAAATAATAAAAACAAATAATTAAAAAATTATTGAATGAGGTTTAACATGATTGCTGCGAGCGAAGCGAGGAGCATTCTATTCTGTATGCGTATACGATCTCGCTGTTTTGGTATGTATGTAGTGTGTGACGTCATGATAAATTTCATGATGTGTGACGTCATGATAAATATTAAACCTATTTTAGATATGTTTCATATAATTTAGATATGTGTCACATTATGTTATGAAAAAATTAAATAAAAATCGATATGTACATTTCGCAGCACTTCACTTTCTATTAGAAATTTCTAGTATTTAACAGTTATTCTTCGAACTCGAGTCGTATATGAGCTAATAGCCGACGAGGCGCGTAGTTTTATTATATACACAAACTTTGTCGCCCTTTCGGTGCATTTTGGTTTGCTATTATCAACTAAAGCTTGGATTTCTATTTCACTCAACTCCCCAAATCTTTCCGCCATTTTGTTTACTTTCTCTACTAGACACATATGAGCTAATATCTGTTTAGTAGCCAACCAATGAAATTGAAGCATACCTCATATCTGGCGCTTGTGTATATAATAAGAAGAATTATCATGCCGAAGTTTGTGGTTATCAACTGAAGCTGAAGGCTGGGGTTGATAATGAAAAACTAAGGCTCGATAATTCTTCATATCCTTGTGAAAACCGAATTCAATAATTGTTTTATTATTTATTTCAAAGAATGAACACTACAATTTTGAATTGTTCGCTTGAATTTGTGTCGATTTCACATTCCCGCTCTTTTGGGACGTTGATGCCTTCGCCATTGGTGTGATGTCACACGTTATGACGTCACACGTTGGACATGACGATTTCACACATGGCTATCAACCAATCAGAAGCTGTTAATTTTTTTGAATAAATAATAATTACGATTACTTATCACATGACTACCTATACTAATAATATAAATATAGATTCTAGATATAGACAATAAATATAGGCAGTTTTTTTGTAATTTTGTTCAATAGAAGTTAGTTATTCTTTTCGAAAGATTTGAGAATGTGCTGAATGTGAAAATATCTTGAATATGAGAATTATGTTTTGAATCTCACTCCTATATTTCGACAACATCTTGAAAAAAATGTAAACAAATTGTCGCTAAAATACGACAATTTTTCACGTGTGAAGAATATCGTACGTCCAATCAAAAGCCGTCTATGGCATTTTTCACACGTTAAAAATCGTACGTCCAATCAAATTGCATGAAATTAATTGACAGAGTGAAATACGATTTTTATTTCATCATTCTGCTGTGCATAAATCTCTATACACATATAATAAAAACAATATATCTTAACGTTATCCAACTTAAAGAAAAAATATATTCGTAGTGTACCCATTAAGATGAATCAATGAGTGTACCCCCTTAAACAAACAGAATATTTTGCACAAACTGAAAAGATTCCTGTCTAAATATATATAGCACTATTTAGTTTCGCTACGCTTTTATATTTAACAACAAGACGCCTGCTCTGGCGTTAACTCCGGCGTGCCGCGCACGTGCCAGTCTTAAATATAAAACTTTCGAACATAAACAATTCAGTTCATACTCATTTAGATGCTTTGCAAACCTAAATGTTGTTAGATCGCGAAATTCAGAAGCACATCGTACTTTAAAAAGTATATATAGAAGTTCAGTTGTTTAAAAATGTAAATAAACCGCATGATACGTTCACTTTGTCTAACTCTTTGGATTCGCGCTTATACTAACTCCCTTAATCCTGTGAATCAGACAGGATTAAAGACGCGACCAGCGAATACAGGAAAATCAATACACACCTCAAAATTTAGCTAAAACGAATATGAACTAGATTTTATGTTCAGAAAAATTGAAATCATGCGATATTTTGGGGAACTTTTACATCAGAGCCTTGGAGCCCTCACATTTTTACCTGCAGCTAGAACCGTTGCGCAGAAAGGACATAATTAACTTCCGCTCAGTATAATATGACATACGTCAGTGAACCGGAAGTGCATATTCACTAACTTTTCCAACTTCAAAACGCCATATTCCAAGAACCACATCAGGAAGATTTACAATAAAGCTCTCACTATACTATAGTGTAGCAATATTGATCTGAAAAATAGGATCATTTTACGATATGAGATGACTAGGCTATGGTGGTATTGGAGTAAAATATTGGAGACTGACTTGCTGAGACAAAAAAGCGGTTACAGGTACTATGTTTAGTGTATGTGTATTAAACCTTGTCTTTAAGTGCTTCCTACAGAGCATTTACTCTCTTCACAAACTTATATGCATCAGTTATTTTACAGTATGTATATATATATATGGAGAATAATAAAAATTAACATGGCTTTGGAATTTATACTACGTGACTTTCATTTAAAGGAAAGACCCTTCAGGTCTGGACATCAGCTCTGCCCATACTAATGCAGGCCCTCTGATTTGAGCTAGAGATTGCTCCACTTTGCATGTTGAGGATTTTTTCTGGATACAAACTCTAGGTAGTATATCAATAAATCAGATTGCAGAATAGCTCATATACAGTGAGTAGCTATATTATAATACACAATATGACACCACCAAATTGTATTAGATGGAAGATACCAGTAAAACAACTCCTTTGCATATAGTTTGGACTGCTGCAGCATATATACTCCCCAAGAAATAATAGTAAACCATTGGCATGGAATATTGGTATGCTAAGCATTTTGACATTACAGTATGCGTAAATCAATGCACTATCCTAGTTTCAATTAAGCACTTCCTGTTTTAGTCGAAGATAATAGCTGCCATGCAGTGAAATTAGTCTGAGAATGCCCATTGGCTCACAAGCATTATATTTTTTTTATACAACATTATGCCTGCATGCATATGTACGCATGCACAGCTATGATGTAGGCCTGAAAAAAAATAGGTACGCAATACAGGCATAGGTGATACCTGAAAGAACCTGATGATTATGTGTGAGCAGAAGAAGAAAATAGGTTTACTTAACACTAATATTTTTTGTGAATTAAGAAACCAATTTAATTTTTTTTTGTTTAAAGAACATGCTTTAATATCCTTAAGAAAATTCCCAAAAGCAAAGGAAATATATGAAATTTCTTTATAATATCCCAGTTTTAGGGAAACTTTGATATGTACTGTGAATATAAGTGAAACAAATATATAATTTACTACAAAATTTAACGAATTCAATGTAACAATCATAAAACTGATGCTGTTAATTAAGATAAAACTGACAAAGAAGGTACAGGTCTATAATCGATCCCTACGCTTTTATACACCAGAGTGCAATTAAAACAATTAGATCAATTAATAAGCTTTCCTGATAATCAGTACATTGACAATATAGCCAATTTGATACTTGACAGGCCGAGGTAAAAGTCAATCATACTTTTTACATCCTAATATTTTTTGAATACATTGATTTGTTTGTTTCATATATCATAGCTAGGTCACACTTGCTATAATTAACTCCCAACATCAATTGTAGCACAGGGTAGCATAATGTGGATAGCACATGATTTTATCATCTACAAATATTGAGGAAAGGTATTACTAATAAAATACTAGTGGATTCACACAAAAATATTTGATTACACTATTTGTTCTTTAGATAGAATGGGCACATAAAATTGTATTCAGTTGTCTCTACCATGTTAATTAATAAAGGGGATATAATCCTTTGTGTCCCTCACTCTGGTATATGTTGAAGCACATGGGCTTGCATGGGTTTTAAAAACAAACGCTAATGGGCAAATCAACCATCTGTTGTTATGACAAAACACAGCTTGATATGGTGAGTTTTTGTACTGAATTGTACTGACACTAGAACAGTAGAACTAGAGCTAGAAAGTCTATAGAACTAAGTGTCCATACATTTTCTCGCTTTATTTGTAATATATACATTTTTATAAAATGTATACATAATACGTACGGTAAAATTGAAAAACCGCGTGTATAAAGTCATAAATAATAAAATAGCAATCACCTCCAGGTTTAACAGTTCATCGTCCCGTTTTATTAACTGTGATTTTATAGAACCAGCCTGAATTAAACCATTGAATTTATTGCTGCCGAAGGCAGCTTCCTATTCTTGGCAGGGTAGGGCGGTAGGCTAACATTTCGCCAGAGTTCATTCGACCCAGTCTTTAGCGCGACGTATGTATTTGTGTGAGCGGTATGTAGTCAAAATCTCGATTTGTAAATGTCCCTCTGTCCGAGTAAATTTACGCGAAATGAAACGTCACACGACTCACATTTCTTGCCGTCATTGCTATTGTATATTGAGCATGAACTCGTCTGTATTTGTGTATGTAGTCAAAATATCGATTTGTAATTTGTAAATGTGTCTCTCCGCGTTTATGCGAGATCATTGGTATTGATCATGAACTGGCAAGTTCGTTTACGCGTAATGCACGGCTGGACGCATAGACATGCATTAATCATTATAGTGAGGGAGAAAAGATACACTCGCACAAATAACAGAATACTACGTAAGTGGACCGAAATATAACATAACTTTTATAATATATTTTAATTAACCAATGTTTAAAATTAACACAACAATTTTCAATTTTCAACTCAAAAAAGTACAACAATTTTTCCAAGTGGCAGGTATAAAAACATTTAGAGTACTCCTCTAACAGTCCAAATATATTAGGCCTTCAACAGCAATTACAGTAATGTTCACTTGTGATACATGTTCAGCCAAAATACCCAATTTAATGTTCACTTGCTAGGTGCATTCAACAACAATAAAATAATAGATTATTTAGAACTATAATAGATTATTTAGAAATAGATGCCCAAGTAATGTTCACTTGTTCTGCATTCAACAACAACAGTAATACTGTAGTAAATAGTGTAATGTTCACTTGTGATATATAAATTATTTAGCAATGCTCAACATTTTGTACTTTATTACTTAATCGCATACTTTGTTACTTCTACAATAACATTGGTCTATACACCGGGGCCAGTCGTCCAAAGCTAGGTTAGCGCTGACCCTGGGTCAAATTTTACTCAGCTGTTTTGGTTCATGGTTCTGCACCGCTATTTCCAGAACTAACAATATAAGATTTATCCACAAAATATTTATGGAAAAACGTGTTCAACTACATAAACGAGCGATTAACTGATGTAAAAATTTGAATTTACCCAGGGTTAAGCTAACAGGCTTTTGAACAACCGGCCCCTGGAAGCTATCCAAAGTATGAACATCAAAATTTCGTCACTCTCATGTGATTCACTCTATAGCTCGACCAATGAAATGGTACGAACACCACATTTTGACAAGTGGTATATAATAATTCTGCATAATTCACGCGAGCTCGTGCGTCCTCTAGCCACGCAGCTATTTAATTCGCGTCACAACAAAATAAATTGTTATATGTAGTTGCCGAATGACAAGGTTTCAAACTAATCACGGTTGCAAATTACCCATGGCATATTCTATTATGATCCCGGGAGGATGAATATGTCTTTAAAACAGTAAATCTTTAAAAACTTGAAATCTTCAATATGTAGGTCTCCGCAACTATTTGCAACATCCATACCCATTAACGGAAAAGTATATGATCTAAAATCGAAAGCCGATTAGCAGAGATAAATTTTGAACAACGTTAACATGCTCTACAATACAAGTAAATTTTACTCCAGAGGATTATATAGATCAACGATTCAACTTGGCTCCATAAGAAAATACTGAACACACTCAGGATTAAATAAAATATTTAAAAATTCAACTAGGAACTGGGTTAAAATAAACTGCCTTTGTACATGACCCTTCGTAGAGAATTGCATAAACCCATAAACTACCTTCGTGAAGAATTGCCGTTAGAACGAAACCGACATCATGCTTTCAGGCATCATTAATTTCTAGCCAACTCAGTATAATCGGAAAATTCTTTTTGTTGAAAAAACAAAACGTAGCGTGAACCAGTCGTTATCTCATACGCCCGGTCGTTTCGTACCCTTAGTGATGGTCGTTTCGCCGGCACCCAAATTGTAGTCCTTTCGTATAGTCAAATGCTTGATGACGGCTTTTATTGCCATCAGTTCTGGATATACCATACAAATAATAGATATATACAGGGTGTATCAAAAAAAATGTCCCAAATGTAAAATTTCCGTTTTCCAGGATATTTTGCAGAATGTGGCAAATTTTTGTGTTCCTAGAGATAGTTAAGACTTATCTGGTATACCTAGGCCAAGTTTGGTTTTTCATTAACAAAATTATGTTACCGGGGGTGGTTCCTTTCCACTGATATTGAGAGGGCTTGCGCGCAAAATGTGAAGCTGAAATTGAGATATTATTTAGCTGTCTAAAAGTAGGAAAGCTTTTTAATAAACTGTCAAAGTTTCAGGAAAAATAATGCATACTGGGAGCAACGCGCGACCCCTAAAGGTGACAAATATTTCATTGCGCGCAGTGGATTAAATGAATGGTTGATTTTAGCGTGACCGATCTCATGTAAGGCTGGGCAAATGAATAAATTAAAGCGAGAAACTGAACACAAAAACAAAGCGATTTATTCGTGATGTTAATCCTCAGCATGTCCACCATTTCATTCTAAGCAAACTGCTGCTTGTGTGAGCATACTAAACCTTGAACAGCGAACCATTTGTCTGTCGATTCGCCTAGATTTGCCGGTGGTAGCGTAGGCGATTTGCAAGAAAGAATTTCGAACGAAATGGATAATTTGAGGCAGGACAGACAAATGTGGTTCGCCGCTCAGTGTTTACCATGCTCAGACGAGCCGCAATTTGCTTAGTAAGAAATGGTGGAAATGTTGAGTATATACCAGATAAGTCTTATCTATCTCTAGGAACACAAAAATTTGCCAAATTCTGCAAATTATCCTGAAAAACGGAAATTTTACATTTGGGACATTTTTTCTGATACACCCTGTAGAGTGCGTATCTCGCTAAATAGAATAGAAATACCGGAAATTAAAATAAAAAACCCCAAAACAAATCGATCTTTGATATATTGCACAATTCATGCCTAAACGCAAATTGTCATCATATGTGCATGTGCCTCTTGTGTCAGAGGCTTAGAGCTCTACGCCGACGCGTGGTCATTAAGGTAACTAGAAATACATGCATGCATGCAGCAACCCCTCGCCATTTTAAACGAAGCAAAATCTTTCGTGCGCTACCCAGACCTAACTTTCTACGCTAATAATTTATTATGAAAAAACGGGTGCAAATTTTTCGGAAACAAAGACAGTCGTAAAGGTGAACAGAAATCACCTTTTTGCCTGCTGCATTACGTTGCAATTTAAGTGAGTGTTAAACATTTCTATATAGCTAAACCTTTAAATCATCAAAACAGCACAAGCACTAAATTATCATAGAAGCTCTCAACGTAAAATGTTGTTTTTCGATTATCTATTTTACTCAATGTTTTTAGTGACTATATAAGCTGCAAAGTGATATTTGTTTCATCAAAACTCTGAAGTACACTTTTGAAAACACTTTTTAAAGTTTAAGTGATGATGTAAAGCCTTAAACGGTCGGTTAGCTCCTTGTTAAACGACATACCAAGATCGTACTTGTCAAAATAACACTGCATTCTTACAGCAAACACTGAATAACCTACTTCAAAGATTTTAAACTACGACTCGTTCCTTTCAGTGCTGTGACACAGAGGAGAGATTGACAGAGAGTCGACTCGCGGCTCCACGCGTTCCCAATTTTTTACTCGCACGCGCTAGTAAGCGTTTACACCCGGTAAGCTCCGAGCATATTTTTAATAAGGAAAAATAAAATTTTTGCCAGTAAAAATGCAATTAAAAAAAATTTAACCGCTATGGCTAAAATGTTCCAAACGTTTTTTGTAGTGTAGGGTAAGAGCTAAAATATTTTTTCTTTAGAAAGCCCAGGGATAATATGCTTGGTGAAAAATTTAACCGCTATGGCTAAAATGTTCCAAACGTTTTTTGTAGTGTAGGGTAAGAGCTAAAATATTTTTTCTTTAGAAAGCCCAGGGATAATATGCTTGGTGAAAATTTGATCAAAGAAGTTTGAAAAATGACTGAAAAAGTATGTAATCGAAAAGCGACTCTGCTTGAGAAGTAAAGATACATAATTATGAATGTTTTCAGTGAATGTTTGTATCATCAAATGGTAATAATTATTAAAAATTTGATATCCTCTGCGAGTTAAAGCTATATAACGCTAAAAACGTTGTTTTGTTTTGAAATGTTTTGCAATGTATTTTGTCAATATTTTAAAATTAAAACGCGAATCTAGAGGTATTCTTTGAAATTCGTCCTTTATTTTTATTCCACAAATATGCAAACGCTCTGCCTGCTAGTTGACAAATAAAAAAAAAGCAGCTCTGACAACGTTTCACTTTGGCAAACACAATTTGACAATTCGGGTACAAATATGGCAGCCGACAAGGGTAATCAGAACTCACTTACAAAACAAGGATTTTAATACTGCTTTTAAAAACAGCACGATCATTTGAACCCAACAAAACAAACAACTTACCGTTAACCTCCAAAATTTTAGTCCAAAAATGAAGATAATCCGACCCAGTTAAAAAAAATCAATTTTCACCTTTGAACAGCGTTTTTTCTATACTTTTGGTATTGAAATTTGGGCGAAAGAGCTTACAAGAAGAGAATCGGTGGTTTGCGTGACGCGTGGAAATGACGTGGGAATGACGTGTATTTGCCAAAACTCGGGGACGCTCGCATCAGCACTAAATCGGTAGAGTCAAGCCTCTGTCCATATCTCCTCTGTAGCTGTGATGACCTGTAAAATCTTTTAATACTGTATTTGACTCCATGATTTCATTTATATTTTTAAAAAGTCGATTGCAAAATGACGGTTAAATGCTGACGCTCTCATGCATGCTCTTTTTTTGTCTTAGCCAATCAGCAAGTTGTACACGACCGTTCTTTCTTCGTTCAAATTTCGCGCTTGCGCACAACTACCATGACCATTGAACGTCCATGACATTTGGGCAACTTTGGTTCGCCTTTGTTCTGTCAGAATACCCGGGTGTAATTCCTAATCTCCGGGCGGGATTAGTACCCTCGCACGGCGCTTAGAGCCGGCTCCGGGATTAATACTGTATAATTTTTTTATATAATATATGGTATTCTAATTCAAGCGTTGACAGTAAAAAAAACACTTTATTTGTTGACTTAAAACTCTGTGATTTAAGTTCTTCGTTCGGTAGACAGAAATTTATCGCTTTGAAAAATTAATGGTCAAAAAGTCTACACCCACACTTAAGTCTTAAGCGCAAATAGCTATGTGGTACTTTCAGTCTGCAATGCTTCGATCTTTTCCCAAGGATGCAAGATGTGGTACCATTCTCATTGTAAGAACTTGTCTCTAAGAGATTTAAAAATTTTACAAGACCTAACCGAAAATTATCGTGTAGAATGTGTTGGTCATGTCTTCGACTTTTAAAACGCGCCCCAACGGCTGACATGTGCGACCCGTGTTGGGAGGCAAGAAAGTGCTGCCAAAATCGAACGAACGTTTACCAGGAGCGTCAAGTATTTTGACAAAGACCATCGGATTGGAGTTTGGAATCATTCTGAGTTCAGATGTTGATAAAATTATTGTCGTTTACTCCCCCTCAATTGAAGAATATTCTAAAAAAAATGCCTGCAGCCGTGGATATAATGTATATCAAGTGATATATATGCCTCACATTGCTGAGAATATTTATTCCGGCTTCAGAATCGTAATAAGATTTGTCATTGATTTCAGGATTACTAATTTTCCCATTTTACCAATTTTGGGGTGTTATTTCCAGCTGTATTATTACCTCAAAATCGACGTATTTTCCTATTCAGGATTTATTTTAATATGGGAATGGTCCATTGACTTTGGATTTTACATATATCCATGTTGATTACCCAATTCCTGAAGTATATGGAAAGGGTTGGCATGTGGTTGGAACGGTGTCTTAGTTTAAAGGACATTGGCAACAGATTTTTTTATTGCTTATTCTAAACATATTTAATGAGCTGACCATGAATATGCTATTATTCGACCACCAAATATTACTGTTTTCGATTTATACCCATTTTTCTTTACCGGGACTGCGTTTATCAGCCGCCATCTTGGCCCAGATTCACAAAAATTATATATTGCGCAACTTGACCGTCGTGACGTCATCTGCAGGTAAGAGCAAAGCAACAGCACATGTTTATATAGATGAACTTGTTGTCTGGGTGTTAAAGACTTAAAGTCCGAAAGTTTCTTTATTGTAATGGAAACTATTCATAAAAACCAGGTTGATGAAGTTTTACCGTACCAGCATGAGCCAGAAATTGGCGAAAAGTCCCAAAATTTAAGCGAGTATAGCGATTCGGACGTTGATAGTGAATCGCTATCTTCTGACGAAGAACACGACCATATATTCGAAGAACAAAATGCTTGGCGCTTAGAGTCTCTTGATTGGTGCAAGTGTGGCAATTGTAACTTTATGTCGAAAACTATCGAAAGTTTTTGTTGCCATGAGAAGGCATTGGAGTATAATGAGTATGATGCCCTACTTAACGAAGTTGAAACGCTTGGCGAAAAGTGTTTGACAGCGCATAGTGATTTTATTAATAACATGCTCGCTGAAGGAGTTCTAAAGATCGATGTCTGTCGTTATCTTGAAGAAAACTGGCCAGTTGACGACGAAGATTTGGAAAGAACTCATAAGCTGTATCGACTTGTATCGTACCAACGATGTTCCCGCTGGATATTCCAGATTTTAGGCAGAAAGAATCGAAGGCCTTTTTCTGCTTGCGTCTATTTGAAAATACGAGAACAATTTGCATCGCCCGAAGGACTTTACACTCATTTTAAATATTCGAAAACATGTAAAAGGTTAGAATTTTTATCTCACGTTGAAAATTAGAACTTTTTAATGCCAGTTTATATAATTTCAGAAAAATCACGTATTTAATATTTGGAGAATTACAATCTTGAAAATAGTATATCCCTATATATATACTTTACAATGATACCCGCATATAATATAAAAACATTTCTAAATAAATTTTGCCAATCTTGTCAATTGATAAATGTGATTACCAGAAATTTATTCATAAACATAAGCAAAAAAATCCATTTCAATTTGATTGCTTTTATAAATTGCCTTAATTTGCTTAATTTTTGGATGAAACATACCTGGTACTGATATATAGGCAGAGAAACTAAAATTCTACTATAACATGAACTGTTTTTATCCAAACTGATATAATTCACATTTCGTAGTCAATCAAGACCTATTGATACACTTTTCTTGTTTACATTTACAGTCATGAATGCAAAATTTTTTTAGCCTTGCAATTGCACTTTTTAGTTGCACATTTCCCTTTGCATACACATTTTGGCCTGTTTAATTCTTGTTCTCTATTTTGAACAGATGAATGAGTATCTTGAGGGACTGCTGGTTTGCTAAACCGGGACTTTCTTCTGGCTACAACCTGTTCTTTCAATGGTCGCTCTGCTCCTGCCAAGTACTTCTCAACTAATGATGGTGGTTCAGGAGGAAGAACTTCATTGGCATGAACTTTGGCTTTTTTCAAAGTAGGAAGCTTTGAACGCAATGTAACAACTTCACTCAAAATTGTGTTCACATATTCTGTAACAAGAATTTCAATTAAATTAGCATTTTATCATACTCAACCTGCATGCATGTTGTATGGAATTATATATATGATACTCACCATAGGTTGGTTTTTCTTTGAGTGGTTTGGCAACAGCCTTTTCTCCCTTAAATGCCTTTGGGTAAGCAATACTCCATCTTAGCTCCCCAGCAGCAGTTTTGGCTTGTTTTCTAATGCTGTTCTCGTTGTAGTGTAAATTGGAACAGTATAACCTATCAAAATAATTAATGACACATGGATAAGAGTAAACTATGCATGAGAGCAAACTATTGCTTATGCTGTGCAGGCATCAGGGAGCCAGTCAGAAAAACGTACCTTGCAGTTAGTGAATGATAGGAAAAATATGTGTTTTTGGATGCAAGCAAGTTATCAATGGAGTGTTTTGACTCTAATCCTGATGTCTGATGATACTGTGAAAGCTTACGAATTGCTGCAATTAGGCGGGGCCTGGTCATCATCTCAGTAAGCTTTTTATATGGGGCAGAACCTATAATGTGAAAGCAATATACCATTTATACCATATTTCTTTCTCTTACCACTGACAACACCATGATGAGTGCATATCTATAGACACAACTCCACAAAGTTGGTAAAAACTTATTTGCTCTACCAAACACCAAATGAATTAAGTATCTTAAAATTTCCCCAAACCTGTTTTAAGCCAATCTCTTTCCAATGTTTCGTGAAGACATTTTGTAAACAATTTGTTTTCGGGATGTTCATGTATGTTGACAATATGGTTAAGTAAGCTGAGCCATTTCTCCTCTCTTTCATCAGCATTTGTGCTTGAGTTGCCAACCCAATATATATGGTTAATAATAGACTGCAGTACAAATACAGTAAGATGAGTTAAAATAATGGCATTAAATAATGTTTATAATAATAAGTTTTTTGTATACATGTTGATCTGCCTTTGTAGTGACTTGAAAGTATGAACTTGATTTTAATATTATTAAATATATCCTGTGTATTTAATTGGTCATTGTAACTTACAGCAATCCATGGTTGAATTTTTTGGAATTTTTTCTTTTTGGCAACCTTTGTCAATTTTTTCTTTTCCCCTAAAAATGATTTTGGAACATTATTGCAATAAGGAAATAATTAGAAGGTCTTTCCGTATGGTCTAACTAAAAAAGAGAATCGGTTTTGCACCTTTCGCTACATGCCACACATCATAAGAATGTTCAATCTCTGGCTTTTCATTCGCCATGTAGCTTGCTGTTTGAAGATGTCGATCCGTTACCAACTTTGACACTTTGACATTATTATCTTCTAAACATTTTAATTGGCGTTTCAACGATTCCAACTCCATCGCATTGGAGTTTTTCACTTCCGTGGACTGTTAAAATAGGAAACCATAGAAGAAAATTACATCACTGTTATTTTTGTAACACTGTCAGGCTAACAATTTATAAATTTTGAACTTTTCAGTACCTTAATGACTTGTGTATCCAATATGACGTTTCTGTCAACATCCATTGTACTGCCCGATCCAAGAAGACCGGTGTGTCCAGGGCTATCGACACGCATATCTGAAGCAATTACAATCGATCTTCCTTCGACCTCTTTCAGCTTCGAAGTTTGTTCCTTTTTCCAAACTTTAAAACTGATGGAATGACATAACATTTCAATATATTTGACAATTCTCGTTGCTTTACGTTAGGAATCCTCAAAGCAGAAAACAGTCTAAGAACTTTGGATGATTCCAACCCTGTAGCAAGGATACCAGAAGCCAATAAAAGGTGAAATATGGGCATACAATTGTTTGTTGGGCCTGTCGTCCACTTTTGTATATGGTTTTCCTCCACGCAACAAGAGCTAATAACATTGCAAAATGATCCTATCTGGCTTTCGATGGCAACGGTACAATTAGCACCACATTTCCAGCATTTACCAAACACTTGCATGATGGAATCTTCGAACACGATCAATTTAATCTGTTCTTCTGGTAATTTCCCCGGTCTCAGTAAAACACGCCTCTGGTCTGGTTCTTCTTCGTCCGTGCTCTCCGTTTCATTCGATGTTTCCTTGCCTGGTACGTACTCTTCTTCTTTTGAGGAAACTTCACTGATACTGCTGCTGTATTCCTCGGGGTGGACGCTGGTTTCTATCGTGTCATATGTCGACTTCAACTGAGTAGCTTCATCCAGTTGTGCCTGGTTTTGGAGGCTCTCCTGGTTAGGTTGTATATTTAAGGTTGTCGATGATGCGTCCGAAATGGTTTGTGTTGGAGTCGATATCATTTGTGGTTTAGTTGTAGTTTGAAAGAATGTTGAAGTCGCGTCCATGACGGTTTGAGTTTTAACTGAGTTCGACATGATGGTTGTTTGTGTGGACTTGGAAGAGGTATGTGGAGGATTGAGCGCTTCGGTGGTCTGTGTTGAAGCCGTGCATGTCATAGATATTGGGGCATCTTCTTGTTCACGTTGCTGGACGTCTAATTCTTCACCGCTTTGTTCGTCGGATGTAGACGCCTGCTCCTTTGAGGTTGAAGGTTGTCCCTCCGAACACATCTCCAAAATCCCCTAATAAACATGCAATGTAGATTAGAGAGAAAATATTTCATTTTCAAAATCCGTTTAGCAGTTATAAAATATACCTTTTTTCGTTGTCTTCTCAAGGTATGTTCTCTCGTCTTAATGCTTTTCGGTTGGTTGGAATCTGCTAAGGGCTTGTTTAATGTTGGCAATGCATCTCTTTTTAAACGAACCGAAAACTTTTCTTTGCATTCTATTCTCTGAAGGAATTGTGGTGAATTTCCTGGTTCATACGCATCTTCGTTAAAGTGCAGAGAACATATTCTAGTGCACGAAGATGGTGAAAAATATTTCCGTTTACAAAATTCTATCCACGCCTTTCTTCTGTATTGCTGGTCGACTGATTTTCCACTCGGAAACGAAAAAAAATGGATACCACTATCTGTTTTACTGCTACTATTACACCCGTAAACTGGGCAATACATATTTTGCTAGACAGTTCAGCCAAGACTGAATATATGACTATGGTAGGGAAGTAACATGTGTGGCGTTTACACGAGGTGCGCCGTTTGCCCGCTTTGTTCTTTGCCGCGCGTCAGCTGCAAAAACAACTTGCGGAAAATGATAAATACGACGCCACGGTCAGCATGCATTTTGCCAAATTTTAACCAAATGCCCGTCCTTTTTCAGAATGATAGTGCTGTTTTCGGTATCAGACGAGATTAAGATTGGATTATAGTTATATTCTTTAATATATATTCATCCTATAAGATGGTTTTATGATTTATAAGACGAGTGCATTTGGTGAAATGTGATATGTCAACACACTGATTTGTCTCTCTCGTAGCCGTGCTAGGTCGTTTTGATCTTTCCAATTTTCTTAGATGAAGCCATGCCGCCCTATGTAAGGTGTCGTCGGCAAGAGTAATTAAATGTGTCTTTTAGCATTCTTATTCTCATTCTGTCTAAGAGTAGCATTTTGTTAAAAACATCTTATTTGCTAAACTTTAGCGCGTTGCGAAATGTATTCTCGATTCGCGCGTATGACATTTTTATAAAGCAGCCAGAAATCATTGCTTTACGACCCAACGTTTGCGTTTATCGCATCAATGCGGCAGAAAACTTTTGCTGTTGAATACATTTTACTTGCTTCGCGGTAAACTCAATATTAAACTTTACTACATCTAAATTTTTACTCATAAAATGCTTTGGGCACATATATTAATACAGGCCGGTATATTTGTTTACCTGCACATGACGTCACGAAATATTTCATGCATAAATTAACATATTGGAAGCCTTTCAAGATGGCGGATGTCTAATAAATTTAGGAAGACTTTCCAACAACGTTTCTTCACAATTAAACGCTTTGAAAAGCCCGTAACGACAAATTAAGTATTTCGCAGATATATATGTTAGATGTAAGCAATAAAAAAATCTGTTGCCAATGTCCTTTAACTTTGTAATTCGGCTAATATAATTTACTGTGTTGTGACGCGAAAGAGCTGCATGGGTAGAGGAAAATTTTAATATAACACGGTGTATTCCTGCATGAGCTCCACCGCAAAGATTGTCAATATTCGCTGCTTATACTTTTTTATTTCCCGCGCTATATTCTGCTTTTCTTTTTATTCAGGTATCGATGATGTGGTGATGATTTACTAAGATATTCAAGATAGGTTTAGAAACATGTCCTCCAAACACCGTGAGAAAATTAAAAGTTTAAAGGCACTGGATGATTCCAAGTTGTTCAAGGTAGTAATTGCCACGGTTGTATTAAACTAAACTAAATGCACTAAATTTAATGGAACTAAGTTCTTTGTAACGTAATATTTCGAAAACGCTATGTATACTAATGATTGACACAAGAGCCTACATCATCAACTTATGAACGTATGCTTGGCTTTTTTTTCCTACGATGTACCTGTACGACTGATGCCTGTTTCAGACGTTTCATGTGCCGAATCAAATGCAAATGAACATAAAAAAGACTTGTTCATTAACATTTAGCGCATAACAAGGCCCAAGTGTCAAGCATGAAAAAGGTCACTTAAATTAAATTGATTGTGAGTGTCGAAAATTACAAACATGACTTACGCGTGGATGTTGCAAAAAATGATTCTATTTATAATGCTAAGCACTATACAGAGTGTCCCAAAAAACCCCCGAAACTATTGAATTCACCTATTGTTAAAATTTAAATGATTCGTTCGCGATTTTTCGCCCATGGGGATTAACACAACTTATAAAATGCCAAATAGGCCTACAAAAGTAAAAATTTGCTAGATAAGAAAGAAATGTCGAAGAACATCGTGATGAGCTATAAATTTAAATATTGCTATCCATATTTGTAAAGTGTTTTGGTAATAAAAAATCATTTGTGGTTATACAAATAAATTTTACTGTCATCGACCCATCATTTTAAACATTTATCACTTTATATACTTGTGGGTCCCATTTTATTACTTTATACACTTGTGGTTCAAATTCAGCTATTACATTTTTATAGGTGATTTCAAATGTTTTGGGGTTTTTTGGGACACCCAGTATTTGCTACCCAGTATGGTTTATGACATTTTGTAAAGATATTTATTATTATAGTATTTTTTAATCGATTTTCTGGAACGAGATGTTGAGACCTTTCCCAAAACATTCCCTGACGTGATTCTTGTCCATATTTAAGTGAATGTCGCAATGTCGAAAAAATGAGAAGTTTTGAATAATCGAGAAATACTGAAAAGCGCAAAAAATAGTACGAAGAGGTCCCTCGCTAATATGCTTTTTTCAAGTTAACTTTTGACAAATTAACTTTTGGCAACTTAATTTAGCTACTTCTGAGAAAAATTTCATTTCGTTCGCGGTTTAAATAGCCGTCACTTTGCATCGCTTTTTAAGATATCTTTTAAGATATCAAATTTACATTGGGTACTACGATCTTGCTCATCCACAACTTGAGAATTTTAATCTCACCCTTCAACAAAAACTTTTTGTTTCTCGGCAAACGCGGAGTCTTTCCCATTCCTTTAAGGCAATTCTCCATTAGTGTTCGCTTCACCCGCGCGGGCGAAGCGGCTTTTGAAATTCTGTCCATGTGACCGTGACGGGCCTGAAAAACAAAGGGCGCTTCGCCCGCGGTGGCGTGGCGGACGTAAAGGACAATCGCCTTTACGCATCACATTCACATAGACCACGGCGTGAGGGCGACATATACGCGTTTCAGCTCTCGTGTTTTACAGCACAATGATTCGACGTAGGCTTTAACTAACTCTGGATTCCGGCAAACTTTTCTTCAATCAATGATATACTTTATGTGTGTATTTTATAGGCCGAATCACCAGTTAAGTACTTTTCTACAGATAAATCCTTTTCGCTCGGGAGTGGTTCAATGGGCACATGTGTTTATCTTGGTGTTATGGAAGATGGTAGTGAAGTGGCTATTAAAGCAATGATACTTCAAGTATCTGAAGAAATAGCAGAAAATGAGAGAAACATTCTATCTCTAATTCAGACAAAAAATTCGCAATTTGTTGTAAACTACCGACATTTTTTTCGAGACAAGACTTTCATGTATTTGGTTATAGATCTTTGTGAAGAGACGCTAAAGGATCATGTTCGTTCCCAAAGTCCAGACGATCTGCGAAAACATGCTCGACGTATGATTAAAGAGATCTTATCTGGTCTGGAATTTCTTCACAATCAAGGAATTTTGCACAGAGACCTTAAACCGTCCAACGTCTTGGTCGACATTGGGGGTCATATGAGATTGGCAGACTTTGGAATAAGTCGTATCTTAAAGGCAGAGGAAACTACAGTTTTACTAATGCAAAAGGAACTCCAGGATGGATGGCTGCGGAAATAATTGAAACAATAGATCACGAAGTGAAATGTCGCTTTAAAAAAGTCTGATATTCAAGTTTCTGGAATGATTGCATTCTTCATTTTAACCAAAGGTGATCATCCATTTGGTTCTATTCATGATCGCATGGGGAATATTATGAAAGGAAATCCTGTAAATTTACAAGTACTTAATGATAAAGATGCCCGAGAGTTTGTTTTGAAGTTGATCTGCCATGAAATTGAAAAAAGACCGTATGCTTTTGAAGCATTAAGGCATTCTTATCTTAACGAAGATAAAGATTACTCAACGACATTGATTTCACAAGATATTGATCCGCCAATGGCAAAGAAAAGAAGGAGTGATGGTGATCATGACGGTGATGATGATGGTGACGGTGATCGTGATGATGATGACGGTGATGGTGACGGTGATCGTGATGATGATGACGGTGATGATGATGGTGATGGTGGTAGTGATGGTGATGGTGAAGGTGAAGGTGAAGGTGAAGGTGAAGGTGATGATGGTGATGATGGTGATGATGATGATGAACATCATGATGATGAAGATGATGATAATGATCATGACATTTTTCAGGATGAAGCATATGATTACAGTAACGAGGACGACCATTCACCAGATATTATTGACAAGTACGATTATGACGAATATGATGACGGCGATGATGATGATGACGATTATTCTTCTGAAAATGATGAAAATCATCATTCTTATGATGACGAGCATCATGATATGGACAATTACGAGGATGATTCCCATAGCGAAAACGACTTTTCCGGTGAAGAGGAATCTGAAATACATGATGATGTTTATGATATAGATCAGGGTGAATATAATCACTCGGATCCCGACGAAAACGAACTTCCCGAAGAAATGAGTCTTAGCTCAGAAGAAGAGGATACATTTTACGGAGAGGAACTTTATTAGTTAATGATTCATCTCAATGATTCATTTTTAGTGCAAAGTTTCTGTGAAACTTTGCAGTATTGTGGTGAGTGGCGAAAATTCACATCAGACAGTCAGTCAGTCAGTCAGTCAGTCAGTCAGTCAGTCAGTCAGTCAGTCAGTCAGTCATAGTGTAAACTCCGGGGGGCGGATGTTTTTTGTTTGTCGTCTTTGATCCTATGTGGGTGGGTATCAGGAAGTTTGTTTGATCAAGTATATAGTTTTCTGATTTGTATATTCTTTTAGCATTTTCCAATTTAAACAAAATATGAAAGAATTACTGTGGTTATTGTAAATTTTATAACATTCGTTACGATGATATGTGTGTTGTTCCCCCGGTACACCCGATTTCATCTTGAACAGCGCATTAATGCGCATAAGGCGCGATTAATATTCAGAAGCGCAAAATACAATAAGGAGCGATGGAGCGACGAAGTGTTGTTTTGAAATATTTTAAGCGAAAAGCGAGCAAATGTTCGAGAATTTGTGAACTCACTAAACGCAGAACCAAGAAAGAATACGTCCACATCCACTATCGTATTTTAACTACACGCATAACATAATATACACGACTTATTTTGATAATGTACTTCACGAATCTAACATGTGTTGATAGCAATTGATACTGTTGTATAATCGACTATGGAGGTTAAAAATTTTTTAACCATAACAGTGCTTAATAATTACTATTTGTTATAGAGAAACAATGGAGCGAGACAGTTCTGTTTAAAATGTACAAATCTGAAGCAAATGGCGATATTACTAGCAAGTGCCGATCAGTATTATCAGGTTAAATGGTATGCTAAGGTGCTACACGACATGCACTATTACTACACGTAATAAACACTGTATTTGAACTGATCCATTGATGCGCGCATCGTGTTATAAACACACGCATCGAATATTACACTGCACGATTTATTTAGATCGTATACTTCATTGAATAGAGTGCTAGACAACACAAACTTCATGAACCATAGGATTGTTTTGTATTTTACGTATTGCAGTTAATTCACGCTAAGATGTTGACAATTAAGTGCTAATATTATTTAGTTCGTTTTCTTACAGCACAACTTCATAGAGCTATATTTATTTAGTGCTTCGTATTTATTTAGGTAGGCTATAGTGCGATTGCGCGCGTATGGCTATGTAAATAGACGGATCGGTTTTGAATATATACAGGCGTCCAATCAGTCCAAAAGAAGGGCAAAGTAACTATTACATTAATTACGTTAGACCATGTTTCATCTGCGCGACCACATTTTAAAAGTCCCGTACGCCTATGCACAAACCAATTTTACTGTCATAAAAAATGCTTCAAATGAAAACTGTGGATCCACACAGTAGGCATTCAAGGCTAATTATATTGTTATGGTTGATATCCATATATAATATCGCGACTATAGTAATGTAATTTGAGTATGTTTGGTTATATTTTCGTGCTGTCAGGACAAGTGATCGATTCACGCATCGCTTATGTAAATCATGCAAGGTTTATTTACTTTAAGGTTTATACAGTATAGTGCAATTTGAAAGTATCTTGTGGGATTCTTCTCAGAAATATTTTATTATAAAATTTTTCCATCATTTATTTAATACTCCAGTTCAGGCGAGAACGGGTTGTTTGTTTGAGCTATATTCCTCAAAAGCACAACTCGCAAAATAATGATGTACGTAAAAATTGAGCTAGACGCACACCTTGCCGTAGCTTTTGTTTTCTTGATAAAAGATGAAATATATTGATAATATAATACGCATCACAATAATATTTTACCTCGGAAGTTGAAACATGAGGCGTCAATTCACAAGTAAACTGCAGTGTAATATTAGTAAAAATAAACGTAATATATAAGTAGAAATACCCCTTGTGTGCGAAAATTGGGATTTTTAGGACTCTCGACCTGATACTTTCGACTCTCGACTTTATACTCTCGACTTTATACTCTCGACTTTATACTCTCGACTCTCGAGTTTATACTCTCGACTCTCGACAATTACCTAGACTCACGAAAAAGCGTTTTATTATACTTAAAACGGATAATATCCAGGTGATCTGAAATGGCGGGAAAGGACTAGGACTAGTTGTCATATAAAAATCCATTTCTCGGTTGAAACAACTTAAAATCTCGTGAAATATACTCTATTTAGGTTCCAAATTTATATCAGAGCTATAGTTCTTATAACTAAACATAATCACAAAATTTCGAATGGTTCCATCAAGAATAACAAAACATATAATCGATTAAACACTGCAAGATGGATTTCTATTTTCACAAACTTTCTGAGCGCTGATTGGCTGAAATATGAGCGCGAGATCACCTGGATAACCGCGCATTTTTGCACAATCACAAGTATAACAGCATTTGCATTATAGCTAAAACTTTGCACTATCCTTGGATCCCTAGTTTATTATTGCGACAAAAGCCTGTATTTTTACGTTATGATATATGAATTTAGGACCCCTCCACACGATGCCAGAGAAATTCGAAAACGCAAAAAAAAATTCTGTTGTTAAAACCTACTTGGTGAGTACGCGTCGTGTTTTCCATCCGCGTGTCAGAGTGACGAATACATGCAAACGGAAGAAAACCAAATTAGGCCCAACTTTCAATTCAAAGGAAACTTTGGTAAGAGGAATAAAATCTAATAACAAATTAACACCGTTACAAAAACTCAAAATACACAACTTAGAAAAAAATTTAAAATCAAACTATACCTGGCCATACCACCTCAAAATATCAATAAACGAAATCACTTATAAAGATCCGATGCTAATGTATCCACTTCCAATACCACCACATCTGAACAAATACCTTCCCAAGAAACCCTAGAATATAAAAATAGTATACAAACAGACATATCATTATTAGAAAAAAGACTTGAGACAAAATTAAGAACGAAGTAATCCGGAATATAGTTTTGAAAAAATTCAAGATATCAGGGAAACTCTACGCACCTTGATCCCACGACCCACATCCCACCTATAACGACGTTACAGATGCCCTCAACAACAACATGTACAAGGAAGACCAAATTTCAACCATTTCCTCTTAGATTATGTCCATCAAACGTTTTATATGCTAAGGAGTACCTCGACGATTCCAGGTTCTCTAATTTTTTACAATCTGACATAGAGCAACCTATCAGAATATAGTTGTCACACAAACGGATAAAACATCGGTTGGACTCTTCTGCCATCTTGGTATAGAAACGAATATGCCAGACACCTGAAAGATTCAGTGTAAATACAGTATATACAAAAGATTTTGAATTGAATGTACACATCGCAGAATGCAACCCAATATTTGGAGAATTAAAAACGCGGTTCAGCGAAAAACCTCCCCTCTCTTACCGGAAGACGTATAATCACACTCTTGGTCCACTTCAGATATCTCAAAACGGTTACGCTTACATTTGGATAGCATCATTTTGAAATTTAAAGATCTTTTTGCTTCCATGCAAGCAAATTCATTTTCCTCTTATTTACAACTATTTATTTAGAGCTTGTTAAAATCCTGTGTCAACATGCTATTTACAATATCAATAACTATAAATATTTATTAATATCCTTTTATTTTTCTTCTCTCTACACTAACATATATTTTCTAGATACTGCATGTAAATTCCATTATTAATTGTTGTAAATTGCTCAAATTATCTACTTTCTATAGAGATTTCTTACTTAACATCAGCCAATTTTTGAAAAATAGAAACTTTTTTCTGTAGGAGATCACATGCATAAACAAATTTATGGCATCGCAATTGGTATAGTTACCATGCGCTGTCGATCAATGAAACGCAATGTTAGTGCTTTCACTAGTACTATCGATAAACTTTGGTTGACCCCGTGTATTAAACATGAAATAATAGCCAGACAAAAAGGCTTTAAGGCCCTCACCCACTCATCGCAAAAACTTACTCGCAAGCTCGCTGCAATTAGTTTCGTCCAATCACAATGCTTGTCAGTCTATTTTAATTAGATGCAAGAACTCGCAGCGATCTTGCGAGTTGATTTTACGATGAGTGGAAAAGAGGCCTTACATCAGGAAACAAATTAA